TACTTGAGGCGTTACACTGAGAGCACCAAGACTGAGGGGATTTCTACTTTCACTTCCTCTCTGTTTGCGGTCACTGTTTGCTTTTAATAGGCTGCTTCGAACTGTGAACAATAAAGGAAACAAAAGAGATAAAGTGTGACTTCAATGCAGTTTCAAATCATGTTCACTCTTCAGATTCCTCACTAGAAACCCCTTTCACAATTACAGTGTTTTTGACATGTTTATTTAAAACATGTGGATTATAGCATATATGTACTGGACAACAAAAAAAGCTGCACAGTTGCAGTTGATCGGTATCCGTAGCCATGGTTGCGCGGAGCGGCTGATTGGTGCTGCGATTGCCTCAGCTGGTTAAAAGAGTCCTGCTGATTATACTCTGGGTTCTATTTTGGTTGTGAAGCCACACGGTTTTTTGACCACTGAAGATAAGAGAAGATAAGATTTGTTTATTTAAGTGACGAAAACTGTTTCAACATCGCCTGGTAAGATACCTTCATGTGTGTTTAAAGAAGAGAACGAACAGTGAATAAATGGAAACGATAACATGGAAATAAATGTACCAAAAACAAACAATATGTATCTGAGTGATGTGTGAGCGTGTCGGCCAAGCGCTAAAACCAAAGAACAGAAAAGAGCTTAAGAAAGGTGGAAAGATGGCTCTTTTACCTATAGCTCTATTGTTTTGACAACTTTCAGGTCATTTAATTTTTCCACAGTACTGGTTTGATCACAGTTAGAGCCTAACTGGTGGACTTAGTGGAGCATTCACCGCCAATAAACCACTTTTTCTGAGTTGTTTGAGATCAACAAGGAGCTTAAAGGACATTCATTATTATACATTAATGTATGTCTGCTGGAGCATAGATGTTTATAGGCTAAAAGTGATAATGCTTTAGTGTTGAGATTTTGGCATTTTCTACCCAAAACAACAAAAACAAACTCAATTTATAATATCCTTATTCAGCTCAAAATCTTCAGAGTTCGCTCCTTCACTAAAACAGCAGCTTTGGTCAGCTTAGGTTCACAGAAGTAGTGGACATTTCCCCAGAGAAAATACCTTTCAAAATGTCTACAGAAACCTCTCAAACCACATTGACACACTCCACTTCTCTGTGTGTACGCTCATATGTTCCAAACACTCATATTTTCACCATGACACAATAACAGAGCTTCCTCTTATGTATTATCAGTTTACATGTTGACAGCTTCTGCTTTCATATCCCACAAATACATTTAAATTAAGGCCTCAACTGTGTTTCCGGTGTGTCGTCAATTTGCTGTGTATATATATATTTTTTTCATGTCCAAGCCTCGAGTAAAAAGGACCAAATCTACTGAACTCTCACTCATCCATCCATCCATCCATCCATCCATCCATCCATCTTCTCCCGCTTATCCGTGGTCGGGTCTCGGGGGTAGCAGTTCCAGCAGAGAGCCCCAAACTTTCTTTTCCCTGGCGACATCAACCAGCTCTGACTGGGGGATCCCAAGGCGCTCCCAGGCCAGCGAAGAGATATAATCCCTCCACCTGGCAGTAGCGTGGCGTGGGGGGAAATGTAGGGGAAGCCCATTTTTTGGGTGGGGGGGGGTGGTCAATAACGTAACCAGATGAGTGATTACAGCGCCTGGTATCATTTTACACACATTTGTATCACACAGATGCAGTATTTGCACACGCCTGTTATCTAACCGAAAGGTCTGCACGCACTCTCCAGCTGAAACTCTCTCCTTATTAATTTAATGCAGACAATCCCACAATCTATGTGATTTTTGAATTTACCGTGCCTCTCAATTGCCCGTGACAGGTTGATGAATCCTGAGGTTGCCCAAGGATTGTTCAGGGAGCACGAATCCTTGTCAAAAAGAAGACATGGCCAGCAAAATAGACGCTGAAGTTTAGCGCTTCCAGTTAGCCACTCAGTGCGGACATAATTATCCTCATTGAACGTCCGATTCTCTCCCTTTTTCCTCTGTGTACACACAGCTCGAGTGCGGGCATTGGCCTGTCATCTGATTTAATTTTCAGTTGCTGCTGTAGCGGAAGTTTAGTAAAGTTATGTTTGATTAAGTACGCCAAATCTCCAACCTCCATAATGCTTCATTTGCTTGATAATTTCTAACGGCGGTGATGACAGTTACAGTATTAAAACTGATGTTGATGTGATTTGATTGGATGGCAGTGTCCAATCAAATCGCCAGCCACCAGCCGCCTCTGAAGGGAAGCAAGAGGCGGCTGGCTTCCCTTGGCATGGCCTGACCAATCACAGGTTGGCAGGGGCATCACGTGGGCCTCATCTGATTGGTCAATCCCTCCATTTTTTTTCACCAAGGGAAGCCAGATTCGGCTGGCCTCCTCTCGCAACAGAGAGTGCAATCTACTGTTTCACCATAACATCTAGAGGGGCGCTGTTTCACTCTTTGTAAAGTACTCAATGAGAAGGGGGGAGAGCCGGGCCGGCAGCAACACACAGCAAAGGAGAATTATCGAAACAAAACAAAGTGTTTTTATTTATTTATTTAAATTATAACTACAATCCGAAAAAACAGGGGAAGCCTGGCTTCCCTTGGCCTCCGGGAGAAAACACCACTGCCACCTGGTCCTAGGTCTACCCCTTGGTCTCTTCCCAGCTGGACGTGCCTGGAACACCTCCCTCACTCAGATAAAACAAAAATATGATTATGTCTACAATCAGTTAGAGGTTTCCAGTGAATGCACACAAAAGCATGTCTGTTGATTTTATCTGTGCATGATATCATTACCGACTTCTTACCACATTACACCAGTGATGAAAACTAACCAATACATTTAGCAAAGTTTTGTACTTAGAATATAAATTCATGTACCATTTCTCACTGAATGGATTCTCTAGACTGAAAAACATTTGAATAATTCACGCTATATGCTTAATGTTACATTGATTATTAGTTTTTATTGAGGGCAAACATACTTTATACGTATTATTTTGATTCAAAGATACTGCAGCAATGGACAATACTCTGTTCTTAAAAAACACATAATTACAAAAATCTTGGACAAACGTTGAGCTGACAAAACAAATACAAAAATACGAAATTACTCAAATGAGTTCAAAGAGGAATTTGATTGCACTGTAAAGATGAACGTGACATGTATTCCACTTCATGTGACAAACAAACACAGTTCAAATGTAAATCTTCTCTAAATGTAAATGACTTGCAGTGAAAAAACTAAAATAAGAAGGGAGGAGAGTTCAGGGTGTGTCGTGTGTTGGGAGGACCGACTCCATCATTTAGAGAAGTGAACAGTTCCTGCTTTGGCAGCGAAGGCGGAAGAAAGCAGCTTTAAATCATCAGCGCCTCAAACATGAACGCCCGTCACTCTTTGATCTGCTTCTTCTTCCTCAGTGAGTACGATCACTTACTGTTCCTGTAAATGTCTCTCTTTTTAACAAGTTATTTTTCTTTCTTATCTTTTTTTTAATGATCAGTCTGTTAAACTTTATAGTGGAGGGTAAACGGCTTCTCTGTTTCCTCACATCTCGTATCAGTTCAACATGTCGTTGGTTTCTGTGGTTACAACAGGACGATAGGGGTTTGAGTCACTCAGTGGTGAAAGAACTACTTATACTATAAGTAAAAGAAGAAATACTTGGTAACATTCATACATTAAAATCCCATTTCAGAGTTTATAGATTTTACTAATACTGTATATTTTCTACATTTTAATGCTGTTTTAATTATTTTGAGATGTTGAAATTCTAGAATTGTTTATTTCTACTCTCTAATTTCTACTTATGTGCAATGCCTTGTTTTGTTTATTTTATGCTGCTGCAACGCAACGATTTCCCCATTTGGGATCAATAAAGTAACTCTTATCTCATCTTATTCACATTTTTACAAAGTACAAAAGTATTATGATCCAAATGTACCTGATTTAGTAAAAGTTGGCTTCTTGTTATGCCGAATGTCACATTTCAGAATAATGTGGTTTCATCACTTTAATGTTTTATCTGGTAAAAGTGGAGCTCATTTAAAAATCTCTCCAAGGGATCAATAAAGTTTTATCCGTATTTATTAAACTAATAATAATGTGTTTTTTTTGTATAATTTTATGTTTCTTATTTGAGTCTGCAAAGTAACTTAAGTTATCAAATATAGTATAATTCAAGTAAAAGTAGCAGAAAATGAAAATACTGAAGCTCAATATTGCACTTAAGTACACAACTTGAGTAAAGGTATTTATTAACTTTCCACTGCTGGAATTACTTAAATATGTATTTTATTGAGATTACTATTGACCTTCCTCCATCAGAAATGACCCTATTATCTGAGAGTAACAATTGTTTCTGTTTATTTTCTTCCCATACATATTAGTTTATTATATTTCTGCTGAATTGTTTTCCAAATAAAAATGCATTCCAGTAGTTTTTGTTGTATTTTGGAAGTAACAGATAAATTAACCGGTTGATTCAAGACCCAGGTCCTGTTTACCCTGTTGTTCTTTATTAATGTTGACCCTGAACATTATCCCTGACATATTGTTTATGTTTTGGGTTTGCACTTTGCACCTAATCATAATGTCAGATTTTTGTATCTTATTGTATCTCTTTGTATTTGCACTCTTTACATTATGGATTGTAAATGCTGCAAAGTTTATCTCATATTAATATTTCTGTTAATATTACAGACTGGTTGAGCTGGGCAGCTCAGTGTGACTCTGTGGCTCTGTTAATGATTTATGTTACTGTCAAATCAGACTACAGTGTATTACAGGAATCAGTCAATCAAAGTTGATTTATATATATATCCCAATATCACACATTTGTCTCAGGGGACTTTACAGTTTGTACAGAAATATAGAAACTGTTCAGGAATATAGAAACTATTGATTGCTCTTCTCTCTAACAGCGCTACAGGTTGGAAACAGTGGGCTCACCAACGCACAAAGACTCGACCGTACAGAAATTGAAGGAGGACATTTCAGAGTTGCATGCCCCTTTAACTTCTCTGGAAAAAGGAAGATGTTCTGTAAGGGAAAATGTGAAGAAGGAAACATTTTGGTAGAAACAAATGGAGACTCAGCTCAGAGCGGCAGATACAGCATCGATTATAAGGAAGGAACTTATCCAGTAAGTGAAACAACTCTGTATGTGAGCATCACAAAGCTGACTAAGTCCGACGCAGGAACGTACCAATGTGGTCTGGACAGATCTGGTTCTGTCCTCGACGCATACACGGACTTTGAGATCAGAGTTAAAGATGGTGAGTTTTTACTGGGAGTTTTGGATTTATCTGTTCACTGTCACCTGCTGATGTTTCAAATAAACCAATATGTTTAGTGTTACAGTTATATTTAGAGCTGCATTTTTTTAAATGCTCTTTTTTTAATGAAAAAAACAGTTCATTTGCTACCCATCCGAAAACCACTACAAACATTAGAGCTAATTTATATATTGTTTCACAAAACATGAATTACCGTCTTCATTTAACGGAATGATTTAATTCATTTATTTTGCATTTCCTTTTGTTTCACAGCTCCAACATCTTCAAAACCAGAAGTGACTCCCCGACCTTTTCCAACATCAGCCTCCACACTGACCCCCACTCAGAGTCTGAGCTCCGTACCTTCCTCAGCCTCCCCTGAACGCACCACGCAGCCTCAACAGGGACAGACAGCTTCAGATGGACCAGGTACTTTTAGTTAGTTGTTTGTGTTTATGGACCAGGAAGTATCAGAGTAAACAAAGTGTTCTTCTGCTCTCAGATGTGGTGCTGTACGTTGGTCTGATTCTGCTCGCCATGTTCATCGTACTTTCGGTTGCGTTGCTGATATTCTGCAGGAAGAGAGCCAGGAAAGGTGAGGCTGCAGGAACACACACGCATCACAACGGCAAAAACAATTGGACCTTTTGCAACTTATTTTGAACACACTGCTCTAAAAGTCAATAATGTTGCTCCATCGTTACCCTCGTGACATGTGTGATATTATAACATAACTATTGACATTTAGATTAAAACAATGTTTTGTTGTTTAGGTCAAACTTTAATTAGCTTTCCAAATAGCACACTTCTGTGATCTGATTAATATGTATTTAAATCCTAATTTAAGAAGCTTTTTTGACAAATGGTTGTATAGATCGTTTACCTAAAAATCAATCACTGATTCCGATTGTTGGTCCGTAAGGCTTTTTAGTTTCTTTGTTGTACATGTTTCAACTTGACTGTTTAGTTTAATCTTTTCTCAAAATGTGTTGTTTAACAGGCTGAGTTTATCCCTGTGTCTGGATCCTCTCTGTTCATGGCACTTCAGTTCCACAGTCACATTTCTAATTCAAAAAATACATGTCTCTGATGCTCCTGAAGACTTCATCTGTCATGTAACTTGGGCTCATCTAGTGTTTGCAGTACAGATATGAGGCTGTGGAGTTGAAGTGACATGGGGAGAGAAAGGGAATTCAGAAACTCCGCTAAACTCAATTTGAATCATTTAGAACAGATACGAAGAGTCTTTTGGAAAAACAATGTTGATCAGTGAGTTGGTGTTATATACAGGTAGATTCACAGCTCATTAATCCTTTGAGTCTGGTTGCTTTTTAACCCAAAAAGGAGTTCAGGTCTGCCCCAAATCTAATTTATTTTCTTATAACGTTTTGTTTTTGAAGCTCATGAACTGCATTTCTTTCAGAACCTCCTATGGAAACTGAGTATGTTTCTGATACAGAGGTGAGTTCGAGTAAATCTGGGATATTTCAGATGTATTCATGTTTGTAAAAGCAGCTGATATCAATACTAACCTGTTCTCACTTCCTGCAGACTAACCGACTGTATGAGGAGATCAGAGAGGTGGACAGAGGGAGCAGTTCTCCTCCTGCAGAAACATCCACCATTTACTCCTACGCCAAACCAAAGCAACCAAACGGAGTCGAATCCACAGACGAGTACAGCTTGGTCAATGCAGCCACTGCTCAGAAGGAAGTAAGTCAGAAGTGTGGGAGGGGTTTAGGTTTTCAGCTACACACCCCCTAAATAAACTTGAGGTTTTAATTAACAGGTGATGGGTTAGATTTTATCACATTTGACAAAAGCCATCTCTCTATCTCACACTGAAAGACGACAGATGATATGACAAATGAAAGTGTTTTTTTATTGTACAGCAGAGGACATATTTTTAAATTAAACACATTTGGTTTTAAACTAACTTAATCTACTTACATGAAGAATGTGTTCATCAAGCTAATACAAGTAACAGAAAACAGAAAGAGGAACCAGGCCAGATCATATCTCAATACACAAGCTTCCGTTGATTTTAACAGGAAGTCCTCAGACTGAATGTGGCGGTGTGAGGGGGAGGGGGGGGGGGGGGGGGGGGGGAGGAAAAAGTGCCGTATAAAAAAACAGATTTAGAATAAAAGCTTAACAACTGGTTGTGCACAAGAACTTCTGGTTTTTCAGTATAAAACAGCATTTAAACTGACGGTATGTTTAGGGTACATTATGCTATCAAAACATTGATTTTAATTTCTAACAGTTGATAAAGCTAAAATAGATTTGTACATAAAACCAAAAACATGAAGCAGTAGCCTACACATCCTGAAATGATGATCATGTGACAAATAAAGATGTCTTTGTTTTCTTGCAGACTAAAGATGACCCGGGTAATATCAACTACTCAGAGGTGGATTATTCCAACAGTGGCGCTGCCTCGCTCCACAGCGCCCCCTGTGGCTACACAGATAACGCCCTCTACTCTACTCCTCGGGTAGCACAGAGCTCCGACGTTAGCCACGCAGAAGACGCTTCACCTTCTCTTTACTCCACTGTTTCTTAACATCAGATGTAGCTTCAAATCTGTCATTTCCAAATGTACTTTCTCAGTGACCGACAGGTGAACACAAAGCTGTGTAATTAGGCATTTCAAATGTAATCTGGTAAATAACTTAAAGGTCTCCTATCATGCAAAATGCACTTTTGATTGTCCTTTAGGGAACTCACTAAGTGTCAGAAAATAAAACCCTCTCTTTTCCTCCGTACCCAAATCTCTAAAAACGGGGGGCACAACGGAGCTGATCCAGATTTGCGTCCGATATGATGTAATATCTAAAAATGTGGACCCACGGCCCTTTCAGAAAGTTGCTATCAGAAACAATGCCCAACGTGTGTTGGACGTAATATGGTCTTTGTTTACATTAGCAAGCATGGCTAACACTCAGAGCCAGTGGCGAGCCGTCAGGGCCCTCTAGGCCCTCTGTGAGGGCCTAAGATATTCTACAAAATAATATTTGAAAACATTAAAAAAAAAAAACATTTTTTTTTAAATGTTGTTGTTGTTACATTTTTCATTAGTTTTACCAAAATAACTTGATTTAATTGTATTTAAAATAATATTTCCAAAGAAATAAATCCTTCGAATCTGCCTGTTCAGTTTCTGTTGGAATGTGAAGGGTTAAATGCCGTCTCTGCGAGTTATGTGAAGATGGGAGAGCTTGTTGGTCCCTCTCTACATTCACAGAGGGCCAGCTATAGTAACTCAACGAGAGAGTAATGTCAAATGACAGTACAATTGACCAATCATGTCTTCCCTCTAAATGGGCGGGCTATATTTTCGCGGACTTTATGACAAGTTCCGCCCGCTGTGAGGTCTATGCAAGTGGTGCAGTGACGCGTCCTATAACCCGGAAGTAAGCTTCGCTCGGATTCCCTCGACAGAAAGCAGTGGCATTTCTCCATAGGATTTTGGAAAATAGCTCGAAATAAGGTCTGTGGAAAACGAACCTGTTAGATAAATGCACGTTTTGTTCAGCCGGATAATATCCACATGTCTACCCTACTTTTATTATTTTCGAATCATAAATCTAAACGATAGATTTATGATCGATATATTTATAATTAGCATAAGTTCGTTCATGATGGCTCACTTCAGTGATAGTGATGACATCATGGGCGTCCCCTGGGGTAGCCCCGGATGTTTTTTCTTTAGCCCCGGACAAATTCTCCCTCAATAATATAATACATTAACCTACTTTACCTATAGGACGGACGGCAGAAATGTAATTTCCCATGTTCAGTGAATGCAACACAGAGGCAAGACGACGCCACCAGACCAATCAGAGAGTTGCATGGAAATAAACGTGTTTTATTGGCTGACAGGTACGTACCTCTCCTCTGTGACAATGGCTGACAACTGTCAGCCCCGGACGCGGAGATTCTGAAGATGGACATTAGAAGTTTTTTTATTAAAAAAGACGGCAATTCTCAAGTGGTGGCTCACACAACAACCCCAGAGCCACCACCTGAGCCAGGTGAACAAGGTATGTACCTGTCAGTAAACTTACAAGTTATGCGAACATGTAAGCAAAGCGTAAAATACAGCTACGTTGACGTTACTTTGAATCGCGCGGGTAAACTAAACCGTCAGCAAGTAGCTATAGCTAGCCAGATTAAATAAACACTTTGTCATACAATCTAAATGTTGTGTTTTTTAGCGTTACCTGGTGATTTCAAAGAAAGCTCTCTGGGAAATGTTGACTTACTGTCAGTGTTCGACATGAAGCTATAAGCTACTTTACAGTAGTACAGTTGATCCTGATTCCTGAGTCCTGTCAGTTAAAGTGTTTCATAGTTAGCTTAGCTAAGCATCAATGTAGCACTGAAATATATGGATGTGAATTACTCAAACTACATTTGTATAGGAATGATTCTGTCCTATTGGCAGATAACTACTCTTAGTGATATCTACAAGAGGTTTCCAATGTAAATTTAACTATTTTCAATTGGTTAGTATTACATTTTGTGACAGTGTGGTGACACTCATTTTAATGAAGACACATTTGTGTATCTTGAAATTCATTTATTTGACAGAGCTGGAAACTGATTGACTTAAAATACTTGTTTGTGTTTACCTACACAGTCATCACAGATGAGCCAAACAGAGTAGAGGATGAAGAAATGAGAACAGGAGAAAGGGACACACAAGAAGGAGATACAACAGATAAGAACAACAATGAACAGGAACATCAGAACAGACAAGAGTCAATGGGTAACTGGGGAACTGATTTAGGGACTGCAGATACAGGGCCAAGGCAAGTGAGACATCACTGCTTTCCATCCGGCATGTTTGGCCAGCAAAAAAGATCATTTCAACCAAGTTGCTTTTAAATGGCTTGAATATTCTACAACTGCCAATGCAGCATTCTGCTTTAGTTGTAGAATATATGGCAAACCAAAGCAGTCAAGGGATCAAAGGGACACCCTCACCACCTCAGGATACACAAACTGGAAGCGTTCATTGGATTCTTTTCGAGAACATGAAAAGTCAAACGTACACAAGGCCTTAATTATTCTCTGGAAGAGCTTTAAAGCCACCCAGGTCCACAGGGACATCACACAGCAGCTACATGCTGCAAATGTCAGTGAGATTCAGGAACGTAGGGAGTATCTGAAACGCATAGCAGCAGTGACAGCCTTTCTTGGGAAGCAAGGGATTGCTTTCAGAGGGCACAACGAAGCAGCAGAGAGTGATAATATGGGTAATTTTATGGAATGCATGAAGCTTCTTGAAAACTTTGATCCTTTTCTGCAAACCTATAAGCCACCTTCATGTGTGACCTACCTCTCACCCTCATCACAGAATGAGATGATTGAAAGCACCGCCAACGTTATAATGGCAAGGATAATATCTGAGATCAAAGAGGCAAAAATGTACTCGGTAATGGTGGATGAAGCAAGAGATAATCACACAGAGCAGCTTGCATTGTGTGTGCGATATGTAAGTCCACAAGGCTCAGTGAAAGAAAGGTTCCTTGGACTTTCTCAGCTTGCAGCATTTGATGCTAAAACCATCACTGACACAATAGAGCAGCTACTTGACAAACATGGAATAGGACATCTTAAATGTGTTGCCCAGAGTTATGATGGTGCTGCTGTTATGAGTGGAAAAGTGAGAGGTGTACAAGCTCGGTTTAGAGAGAAGCATCCAGAAGCACTTTATGTTCACTGCTATGCCCATGAACTCAATCTTGTCCTTTGCGCCACTTGCAAAGCCATCCCAGAGGCATGTGACTTCTTTGATCTCCTGGAGTGTCTCTACTCTTTCTTCTCCACATCTCTTGTCCACCATCAGAGATTGGAAACATTTCAGAAACAGCTAGAGGTAGGGAACAAACAACTTGTTCAGCTGTCACACACTCGCTGGGCATGTCAAATTGAGTCGGTGAATGCAATCCTAAAAAACCTCCCTGCTTTGATCCAGACTTTAGGGAGCCTTCCAGCCCCTCTGGCAAAGGGACTGGAAAGCAAGCTTTGCAAATTCAGTACCATATACATGCTTGTCCTGTTCCAGACACTGCTCTCAACCACTCAGGGCCTGCACAAATACCTGCAGAAAGAAACACTTGACTTGGTGCAGGCAGTAAATTACAAAACAGCAGTTGAGAACACACTGAAAAGTTACCGAAGTGACGAGAAAGCACATGAGGTCTATGACAAGACCAAGGCCCTGTGCAATGATCTGGATATTCCCGAAACTGTGACACAGAGGAAGAAGCGAAGAAACATGGAAGACTTTGTAGTTGAGGCATCATGTGGAGCAAGGTCAGACCTGACAACAGGAGATGACTTGAGAGGGAGAATCTTCTTTCCAGTTCTCGACAGAATGCTGGAGGAGCTTCAAAACAGGTTTTCTGGAGTTGGGGAAAAAATATTAATCGGCATACAGGCATGTCACCCTGCTTCTGAGAATTTCCTGAATGAAGAGGCACTCAAAAATCTTGCACAACATTACAGCATCCACTTACAAACTGAAGAGGTTGTTGTTGCAAGACAATACCTTGCCAGGATAGAGAAAGACATGCCAAGTATCCAAAGTGTATTTTCCCTTTTGGATGAGGATATGTTCCCCTCTCTTAAGGCCATCTTCCAAGCTGCTTTGACAATCCCAGTCACCAGCTGCAGTTGTGAAAGGTCCTTCTGTGCCCTGTGAAGGCTACACACTTGGCTGAGAAGTACAATGGGCCAGGTGAGGCTTAGTCATTTGGCCATCATTTCCATTGAGAAGGAGGTCTTGGCTAATGTGGCCCATGGAGAGGTCATCGACCAATTTGCGAATGTCAAACCAAGGCGATTCAGCCTAACACTTCCACCTACAAAACAATAAAGAGTCTGAAGACAGCGAGTGATGATGGGGAGAAAATGAAGCAAATGAAAGGTAATGTGATGAAGGAAGCAAGTGATGAGGGGAAACGGCAAGTGAGGAAGGAAGCAGAAAGTGATGAAGGAAGCAAGTGATGACGGAAGAAAGTGATGAGGGGAAACGGCAAGTGAGGAAGGAAGCAGAAAGTGATGACGGAAGCAAGTGATGAGGGGAAACGGCAAGTGAGGAAGGAAGCAGAAAGTGATGAAGGAAGCAAGTGATGACAGAAGCAAGTGATGAGGGGAAACGGCAAGTGAGGAAGGAAGCAGAAAGTGATGAAGGAAGCAAGTGATGACAGAAGCAAGTGATGAGGGGAAACGGCAAGTGAGGAAGGAAGCAGAAAGTGATGAAGGAAGCAAGTGATGACGGAAGCAAGTGATGAGGGGAAACGGCAAGTGAGGAAGGAAGCAGAAAGTGATGACGGAAGCAAGTGATGAGGGGAAACGGCAAGTGAGGAAGGAAGCAGAAAGTGATGAAGGAAGCAAGTGATGACGGAAGCAAGTGATGAGGGGAAACGGCAAGTGAGGAAGGAAGCAGAAAGTGACTTGAAAATCAAGTGTTTTTAAATATTAAACCCCTTTCTGATTCTGATTCTTTGATTTTTTGTACATATGGGTGTTGAGAAATGTATCCATAGATCTCTTAATGTTGCTCTCAAAGTGCATCAGATTGATGCTTTTAACTTCAATATTTAAAAAAAATCTTCCTGGGGGAGTTTCCCCCAAAATAGTACTTTACCTCTGCTTATGTAACTCCGTGTATTGTCCCCTCGGCAACAGATCACTCACAGTTGGTGATTACTTTCCAGCATTTCAATTGACAGCATATAAAAAGGACATGTGAGCTTCATTGCTTAAGAGATCCTCACATGCTATCTCTTTTAAAAAATAAGTGTCCAGTCAACAACAAAATATCAGTGATCGTATAGTGATAGTATATTTTTCATAAGCGATGTGAAACATTAAACTTAAAAAAACTCTGTGAGGGCCTAAGATATTCTACAAAATAATATTTAAAAACATTTTAGTTATATTTTTCATTACTTTTACCAACTTGATTTAATTGTATTTAAAATAACATTTCCAAAGAAATAAATCCTTCGAATCTGCCTGTTCAGTTTCTGTTGGAATGTGAAGGGTTAAATGAAAGAAGCTCCTCTCTGTGAGTGTGAAGACAGGAGCTGTTGGACGTCCAGCTAGAATTCACAGAGGGCCAGCTATTGTAACTAAAACGAGAGAGAAATGTCAGTACAATTGACCAATCATATCTTCCTTCTAAATGGGTGGGTGTTATTATCGCGGACTTTATGACATAATAACTCGGGGGAAGGGGGTGGGGGTCAGAGGGCCTAGGTATAAGTGCACGGCTCGCCACTGCAAATAGCCAATCACACAAAAAACATGTTGCTGTGACTGTGAGCATTAAACAATTAAAATTAAACTAAACAAACACAACAGTACGTTATAGTCCTTATAAAATAAAAACATACATTTTGTCCACCGATATAATACAGGCCCCTTACCCTCAAGAGATCCTCACGTGCTATGAGAATCTCCCACAATCTATTGCCATAACAAAGCTAATGCAGGCATACGTTTGTGACACTAGATGGCGCAATTGTGTATGTGCGTGTGGGGAGTCTTGCAGTAGAAAATTTGACTGTAGTGCCGCCACTGTGGGCTAAGCCCCGAATGTTTCCAGGTCCAGGCAACGCCCCTGGATGACATCGTTGCGAAATTATTAACCGAGTCATTTTCAAGATTGAGTTACAATGATAAACTGGAGTGGCAAAGGATCAGCTGCATGACCCCGCCATCAAGTGCTTCATCCAAAAGGACAGGAGGATGGAATTTGTGTTTAAGTGATTTGATCATCAAAGGTAGGCCTAAGTCATTTTCAATGTGGGCCGCCGTGCCGACTTAATTCATTTGCAATTGTTACTTGGCTGTAAGTAAGGGAGCCTGTCATGATAGGTGTTTATATAAATGGTGTTGTTTTGTGTGGTAGAGGGTCGCTGTCATTGATGCGTTTTGCACCCAGGGCCGCTGTTTTGATATTCCGCTGAAGTATACGCTGTGACGTAATATCTCTTCTTTTTTTTCGAGGGAAGGGGGGTCAGAGGGCCTAGGTATAAAAGTCACGGCTCGCCACTGCTCAGAGCTAACCAGTACTGGAGAGAGTATGTGTAAAAAAGCAGGAAATAAAGAAAGGAACTCACCTTGTGGTAAAACCGGCAAGAGAGAAAGCCTTTGAGCTCCATACTGTTTCAGAAATAATCCATGATGTGGTTTGGAACATGATGTCGTATAATCACGGCAGATGTTCTTCTGAGCAGGCATTAGCTCCCCCTCCTCTTTTTTTTTTTCAAGCTAAGGACCCAGAATCAGGGTTTCTCTAACAGGGCTGAAATAGAGGGATATGAGGGATGTCTAAAATGCATGATCTGTTTTGTACTTTGAGCAAAACACATCATAGATATGTTTTTTATATATTGTTATATATCTGAGACCCATAATATATGCCTAAATATAGCATGATAGGAGATCTTTAAAAGAACAAAGTTATTAGAGTTTATTTAAGTTTTTTGATTATATTGTTACAAGTTAATGTGTTTCTCTGCATCTGAAGACTTTTGTATATTTTGTTACTGCAGTCAAATGTTGTATTTATTCTGTCTTTTTCATAACTATATTTATTGTGTTTAGTTGATAGCTCAGAGCATTTCAAGAACTGTCAAATAAAAAATTCCCTATCAATAGCATTTACACATAACTATAAATGTATATTTTTTTGAAGCTTAGAAAACCTGTAGATTAAATAAAAGAAAATGGACACTCTGGACTCAATGATGGCAAAATGGTTATTATGACAGCTGTTACGAGCATGTAACACAGCTATACGAATAATTGTACACAAATATGAAATGATTACTGCATTAAGTTACAACCAAGTCCAGTTGTAATGTAAATCCACACATACTTGAACATGATGGCATGAGAAAGTAGAGTTCAGAGTGTTTGGAGGTGGACTCTCATCATTTAAAGAAGTAAAGCAGTTCCTGTAGACAGAAGAGAGACAGCGGTAAACCATCAGAGACTCAAACATGAACGTCAGGCACACTTTGATCTGCTTCCTCCTCCTCAGTGAGTATTTATATCAGTCTCTCTTTTGTTCTGTTAATGAGCTTTATTTTCTTTATTTAATAACAATCGGTCAACTACGGTTTGCACTGCATTGTCTTGTCATCATCTCATCAGTCCAACCACATGTTGGTTTCTGTGGTTAAATATGATGCTCAGACTTTTTTAAATGCAGATTATTACAGGTATTAGTTTTTCCTCAAAATAAAAGCAATTGGTAATCTGCACTCAACTATTGTTCTTTTGGTTTAATAGTTGCAGAGTAAAGTTATTTTTCTGTTGCTTCTGCCCGAATAACTAGCTTTGTGATCAAAATATTAGTTCACTTTATTTGAAGCAGCTAAAGAGGAAGAAATGTAGCTCAGCGTAAGTTCAATCAGGAAGACAACATCATCGGGTGTCACACGTTATTTCAATAAGTGATCAGGGGCATTACGCCCCGGCTAGCCAATCATTGCACCTGCTAACCTCTTTAAATCTGCTCTCCCCTTCCTGTCTTTGTCATTTCAGGTGTCAACGCACAACCCTCCTCCACCCCTTCGCCTCCTGTCTCCTAAATACAGGGCCAAGCTAAACCTTCTCCCTTCAGATCGGACTGAACTACTATCACCACCACCAGTGTCTAGACCCCGGGGGGTTCATCAGAGCGGTTCTTTCCCTCCTGAATGATCATCCTACAAACCCGGGGCCTAATCGCCAAAACATCATTACAGTTACTTGTTGTAATACGTCAATCACTATTCCCGCATATCATGTGTCCCGATAATAAACATGTACTCATACATCACGTCTCTCCTGATTGAACTGCAGCAGTACACATCTTTTAGCGGTCTGTTCACAAACTGAGAGCTGTTGATGTGTTATAAATGCATGTTAAGCTTTTCACACTCAGATGTCAGCAGTGTCATTTTACATGAGACGGGATACATTGAAAAAACACAACACAAAAGCACACACAAAAATATATTACTAAATAACAGAACATTCTATACAGGTTTATACTTCATCACAATAAAACATGTTTTACGTTTTTTAAAAGATCTCTTCTGCTTTTTCAGTTATCTAATATATTCATATTCCTGTTGGATTGAGTTATATAACAGACTGGTTGCACTGGGCAGCTCCCAGTAGGATCAATGAATGATTTATGTAACTGTGAAATCAGACTGCAGTGTATTACAGGAATAAAGTAGCTATTGACTGATCATCTTTTCATTAGCGCTGAGGGATGGAAACAGTGGGCTCACCAACGCACAAAGACTCGACCGTACAGAAACTGAAGGAGGAAACATCACAGTTGGATGCTCCTTTACTTTCTCTGGAGGAAAGAAGATCTTGTGTCAGGGAAAATGTGAAGCACGAAACATTCTGGTTGAAACGACTGGAGACTCAGCTCAGAGAGGCCGATACAGCATCAGATATCTGGAAGGATATTTTCCAGAAAGTGAAACAGTTCTGTATGTGAGCATCACAAAGCTGACCAAGTCTGACGCAGGACGGTACCAATGTGGCCTGGAGGACAGACCTTTTCCTGTCTTCGACTCATACCAGGACTTTGAGATCAGAGTTACAGATGGTGAGTTTCTTCTGGGAGTTTTGATTGATCTGTTCACGAACCTCCACTGCTGTTCCAAATAACCGAACATGTTTAGTGTTACAGTTGTATTAAGAGACTCATATTTAAAAAAATTATCCTTACATTTTTTTAAAATATTGTTGCACCGAACACATTATTTACTTTCTTGATTTAGCTTTAAAATGTGTAATGCACTGATGCATTTGCTGATACATTTTATTTCAATGACATCTTAGTACAGCTTTCTTGGTCCAATCAGTATTTGATTTCTGTTTCATTGTGTTTTCCCTTTGTTTCACAGCTCCAACATCTTCAAAACCAGAAGTGACTCCCCGACCGTTTCCAACATCATCCCCATCAGCCTCCCCACTGACCCCTACTCAGAGTCTGAGCTCCGTACCTTCCTCAGCCTCCCCTGAACGCACCACGCAGCCTCAACAGGGCCAGACAGCTTCAGATGGTCCAGGTACTTTTAGTCATTTATGCTTTTAGTTAGTTGTTTGTGTTTATGGACCAGGAAGTATCAGAGTAAACAAAGTGTTCTCCTGCTCTCAGGTGTGGTGCTGTATGTGCGTCTGACTCTGGTCGTCATGGTCATCGTACTCTCAGCGTCTGTGCTGATATTCTGCAGGAAGAGGGCCAGGAAACCCAGAGGTGAGTTTACAGGAAACAAACTTATAACAAAAGCAATGGTTTGGACCTAATCTTCTGAATGTGATGTCTTTTAGAAACTGCTGATGAAGCTGAGTATGTCAAGGTCACAGAGGTGAGTTTGAGTTCATCTCAGCATTTGTAATGTTTGTGCAAACAGCTGATATTAATACAAACCTGTCCTCACTTCCTGCAGGCTGACAGAGAGTGAGGAGGTCAGAGAGGAGGACAGAGGGAGCAGATCTCCTCCTGTAGAAATGTCTGTTCTCTCCACTTCCCACTGCAGACACTTCTCAGAAGACAGTAAGCAACACTGAGATATGACTGAAGCTTTGAGTTCAGAAAACAGCATCTTTGGACTTCAAACGCTAACAGAACTAGAGTTCAGTCAGACAACTCACGTGTTTCTTTATGTGTTTATTAGAAGCAGCATATAGTTTGAGTTTAGCGTCTAGGCTCGGGCCTCATCACTCCACAGATTTACAAAGAGCATTGAGTGATGATTAGAGAACTATCCCCCGAGCCTACGGGTGGAAGCTGGGGTGGTGGTGGGGCAGGCAAGCAGCAGCAACATGAAACACAGCATCAGGAGCATGAACGCAGCAGCATTAGCGAGACCTGGCAGCTTAAATAGAGCGGCAAGTTAAAGAGCCTGTGACACGAGTTTCTCCCATCATCCAAACCCATCAATTTGAGTAAATAGTGTCCCCTTGAAAACCGTTACTGAACTGATTTTGGATATTTGTACTTTGATAACCATTAATCTGCCCTTCAATGTTGACCATTTCCTGGATCTGCTCGGGGATTCTTCAAGTCCCGCCAAATTACGTGTGACCTCATTGCGGGCACAGCGCTCCAGCTGCACCGTTCAGGATCCCAGCATCTGCATGTAAACGCACGATGGCGCACACAGCAGCAAGCTCAGACAGCGATGACAGTTTAATTTTGAACGTGTCTGAGAGCTCATATGAGGCTGAAGGATCGGTTTATGTTGTATCTGTTAGAAGTTTAGGAATTAGGTGCGTCAATATGGGCGATCATACGGTCATGTAGCCAGTGGTGGACTGGGACTAAAAATCATCCCGGGACTCTCGACCGGCACACTTCGGTACCGCTAGTAAGTTGTCAACGGGGGGAGTGGGGGATGTCAGGGGCGGCGGGTGCTGTAGATAGTAAATGTAAATATGTAAATATTTGTGTCTGTTTACCGCATCCTGGTAAAATACAAATATAATGCAATGTCTGTGTCTTTGACATTAGCGCTGCCAGCCACCTGTGCTCTGTTCTACGAAGCCAGTTCAACATACCCTGGATATGTTTGAGTAACAAACAAACTAACAACAACAAACTAACAAACGAGATCTCGCTAAGCGGTCCTACGACGCTGGTTATCAACTCGGTAAATCAAGCCAGGGTTTCTCTCACCAGCTGAGAGCGCGTTCACGTCTAAAACACGAGTGGATCTGACTTTAATTACATTTGACTCGAGTGTTTCGTCAACATAATGTGTTGCTAAAAATAATACTTCTGCATACAGTATGTGACACTGTAAGTGTTGCACGGCCAGATACGGCTGGAGAAGCTGACTCAGATAAGAAAATATATGATATATTATGATATTATATGATCGATGATCTGATTGATGATGTAATATGAATGATAAGTGCGACACGTCGGCGTCTTCTCTGCATACGGCAGTTTAAACTGTATTTCCTTTATCCTGTAATATGACTTGAGAGATTTAAACTCCGCACACTGAGTTGATCTCTTTTCTATAGACGCCGGAGCCGGGCAGCGTCAGGTAAAAAAAGTGATTTAGCCTTCCCAAACCTGAGCCTCACGCGCCGCCTATGGGGATGTGCTAGTGACTTATCCGACCGGCCCACTTCGGTACCGGCCCATCTGGATTCGTCCCGATGGCCAGTCCGCCACTGCACCCAGCCCACGTAAACTGTCAACGGGGGGAGCCTCGCTGCGGGGAAACGGTGGACCTAGTGTCCCGATCGGAGTGGGAATAATAATAATAATAATCCGTGCATTTTATCCATTAATTTCCCCAACATTGTGGTGAAAAAAAACACACGTTTGTGTTGGTGTACTACAACTACAAAAAGCATCGGTTTGTTTTCTCATCAGGAAATGCAGATCGGCACAAACAAACGATTTTTAATCATCATCATCCTCACGATCATTTAATGTATCATATGTTCGCCGAATTGACATGAAAGCACTAATTCATGTAGTTTCATCCACTTGAGTTTACAACTACAAAAATAATCGATTTGTTTTTATATCACATCCTACGGGAGGAAATTCAGTAGCTCTCACTACCGATTTTTAATCCTAATGTAATCATCATCTTCACCACGATCATTTATGTTTATGTTCGCCGAATTGACATGAAAGCACTGACAAATATGAATATACTGTAGTCAACTTCATTAAAACGTTATTAACGTGCCTAAACTCAGTAATTCACCATTTCTACGCATGACAACACACTTTGTCCGTGTTTGGCTCTCTCGCCGCACAGTGAAGCGTTCCCGCATTGACGTCACTTCCGGCTTCCCCCAAAACTTCAAAATGAGTCGAAGGAATTTCCCCGCGATGTTCGAAATTATTGATATTTAACGGAATGGTATCGCTTTTTCTTTTTTAAACTGACGGTTCGAGATTACTAGTAGCCCAATATTTCATTGCACAACAGTTGTTGGGATGCTGTCACAGGCTCTTTAAGGAGAATGTGTTTGGTTGGTTGTTTATATATACAGTCAATGGTTGTAAAAGGGACGAGGTGCGTCACGTGTTAATGTATCATTGGTGCTCGAGTTGACCGCCTGAACTAGCTCGCCATTGAAGTCAAAGTTTAACATCAGCGTTTAAACGCTGATGTTAAACTTTGACTTCAATGGCGAGCTGAAATCAGGGTTTCCGCTAGGATTTTTTCTCGCCGGTCAAATGTCCGGGCAAAATTTATTTTACCGGACACATTTGAAACGTACCGGTCATATTTCAATAATAATAGTAAGAGTTGTGTAGCAGAGTTTCCGTTAGCAGGTAATTACCGGACTATGAGCAGATATGCTTCAGTTTAAAACTCAGTTCACGGGGCTCATTTTTATATTGCTTCAGTCTATAATCGTAACAGATCGAACAATTCAGATCAATTTTTCAATAAATGATTCCACAAACAACAAACAACATAATTATTACATTCAAACAAACTACTTGTAGTAGCCTAGATAACGTACATTATTCAAAAGTTTACATTAACTTTGAATAATAACACGGGAGAAACGGATCATCTCTTTTCCCCTCTCCCTCTCTCTCTCTCTGACAGCCCGTCAGTTTCTCATGCAGCTAAACAGTGGGCGGGGCTTCAGGTGATCATGCAGAGCTGCTTGTCTCGGTCTGACTCAGCAGCTGATCTGATCTCTCTCTCGCGTGTCCGGTTATACTTCACTCGCGTTTATGTCCATATCGATCAGATCCAGCTCTCCTGATCGTTCTTTATATAGAGCACCGATCAAACTATTAAGAGTGAATATCGGCCGATAATGACCGGTGGCCGATCTATCGGAGCCTTCCTAATTATTACCAGACATTTTGACCGGCAGGTTTTGAATTTACCGGTTTTTAATAAATTTTACCAGCTAAAAACCGGTAATTACCGGCTAACGGAAACCCTGGTACAAATATATTATTACGTATCCCTGTTTTTTCTTCATATTTTCTTTGTAAAGGTTTCTCTTTAATATTATATGTTTTGGCTTTTCCTTTGAACCAAATCATCAAGACAAAGTCCTTTAATTTGCAATAATACTGCAACATCTTGGTTTGTCCTAAAATGTCAAAACGTTATAGTATTTCATTCATTTTCATTGTAGAATTGTAATTTTGCCGTAACATTTTGATTAAGAAATGTTTTAGAGTTAAAGGTGGGGTAAGTTTGAGAAACCGGCTCGAGATACGCTTTTTGTTATATTCCATGGAATGCTCTTAACATCCCGATAGAAATGAATATCTCAAGTGCTTTGACAAAAAATCCATTAAAAAAAAACGTCACCTGTGGAAGCCGTAGCACTGTAAAAAACACGACCAATCATCTGAGCCGGCCCGGCTAAAGTAACTGGATGGCCTACCTGCCTGTCAGCCTTCTGTGCACAACCTTATCTCGTGTCCTCATTGGTCCTGTGCGCGTTCGTGTGTGTTGGAGGAGGGGCTCTGTAACGAAGTGGCAGATTTTTTCCGGTTGTGTATTTTCAAATTCTGGCGCACTCGAGCTGGTTTCTCTAAAATTACCTACTCCACCTTTAAGTAGCCTATGTTATAACGATGTATTTGCAAGCGTTGTGTAAAATGTATTAAACATAAAGAAATGTGAAAGCACTGCCTGTGGTCAAACAAGATACATTTATAAACTATTCTGCCACAATTATCGCACAATAATTGGGATATAATTTGGGGTTTAAACTGTTAGTCATTCGGCATAATTGAGACAACAAAGGAATTAGAACAGACGCAGTCATTTCCATATTTTAATGAAAATAAACTGGACATGAATTGAACATTGGCAGTCTAAACAGTATATGGTCTTCATCTTTAAAAAAAATGTTACAATAAATATTTCCATCCACTAATCTCCTCCAGCTCTGTGTTGTCATGTTGTAACTGACTACACTATAACACAGCTTGGGACAATATGGCCGCTACAAGACACAGCAAACACAACTATATGAAATACTCTCGTCTAATCTTTGTTGTTTTGAATGATTTCTCAACACAAGACATCAACAGCTAAACCCAAAACAGCATAAATAATATTCCCTTTTATTGTCCATACAAAAAAATACAGTTTACAAATGTAAATAACAATAACAACGATTAGAAATGGAAGACAAACACTTGGTTAATATTTCCCTTTTACAAACTTACAGTGCTCAAAGAAGAAAGCAATGACTTGATAAAAACACATGTGAGGTTTAAATAAAGAGCTTGAATTATTGATGTGGCACATTACAGGTAAACACACGGAGGAGGAGGAGGAGGAGGAGGAGGAGGAGGAGGAGGAGGAGGAGGAGGAGGAGGAGGAGGAGGATGAAGGTCAGCTGACAGTATAAAAGCTGCATAGAATTAAAATGACAAATCTCTAATGTAGAGAAGACGACTTTAGGAGATTGTGTGCCATTTCCTCTCTCAAGCAGAGTCTTATATTTATCCTTTATAGTGCTTCTTTTAAAGTATTTCGTATTGCATCAAATGTATTCAAAGGAAGCTCTGTGCTTATTGCCAAAATGTACTTTTCCTTTCAAAGAACAACAGTTTAATATGTGACTCTGCTCTTAGTGCAGATCGTAAAGCACAAGTTCTTCTTCACTTTGTATTCAGAGCAGGAGAGAAAACTGAAACCCCTGTCTTTAAAATTCATTTAGCAAATGAGCGACAAAACTTGTACATTTTATATTTCTGCATCTTACAAAATGTGCTTCTTCTTAACACATAAGTTATTTTTGGGGCAAACCTTTTTTCTGTGTGAACCCCATTAGGCTCTCCTGCTCCAACACTGCAGTGCAGATGAACCCAGACTCCAAAACACAACACACACTTTAGCCTGTTAAACCCCATCCCCCCGCCACCGGGGGGAAAAACGCATCATCTGCAGGAAACAGTGCCTGAGGGCTTCTTAATATTTAATAAACTATGAATGTTTATATCCATGTAACGGGAAGAAACTCAGCTAACTGAATTAGCTGTGCCTCTGAATTAGCCCCGAGCGAAAAAATGCTAACGCCGTTTGCACAGAAAACACGGTATAACACCCTTATTACTTATCGTAACTGCACATCCAACATATCAATTAGCATCGTGAGAATACACAGAATCGATAGGTATATATATCATCACTCCATGATAAGAACTCGCGACATTATAAACAAAAACAGACATCACAACACGTGGCGCTAGGTAGCCAAAACGGCATTATGTCTACCTTTGTCGTTGTCTGATCAAAAGTTGTCTTCAATGGCATTACAACGATAACAACGCTGCTGAAGGTGAATCCATAGGTTAATCCAATGTGTCTGTGTCACTTTGAAATTATTTCTGATAATCCATCAGCAATAAACCTACTTTTAAGTTTTCAGATTTCAGCGTGTGAGACAGATTTCGATTTGGGCCAACTGCGTGCGCATAGCCCCCACTTCACAATGGTAACGTTTGTGTGTATGTGGAAATTCCCCTTCGATTATATTGGCTCTAACGGTTAACAAGAGATGTCAATCATCAAAATCGACCAATGGGTTCCAGAGAAACGGCAAAAACGCCCATTTCCACCCAAATTACCCCAGAGGTGGAGTTTTTTTTGCTAAACTTCTCTAAAAAGGTCAAATGTCATTTGTTTTGCATCAATCTTGATACAGGGTACTTATTATATGTTGTACTTTGGATTCCTAAAGCTTTTAGTCTACCATCCCATCATTCAAGGGTGGTTTTCACTATAAGTAAAAAATAATTTTTGGACGGACACTATAATTTACAGTTTTCTACGATGTTCAATCGGAATTTTCTTTAAAATAAAAAACATCTATATTGATTCTGACTCTTCTACATCCAACCCACAGGTTTGTCATTACTTTGAGGAAAACAATTATGAATTTTCCCCTTTTAGAAGTGTAGTTATGGTCATTTGTTCTGGAAATGTCATGTTCAAGCCTGAGACCTGAAAAACAGGCTTGGGGTTTAACAGGTTAGAGAAACACACACACGAGAGAAAAAACATGAGTGGAAAAACCTTGATGTGAAACCTCAAGACGAAGAATCATATTTTTAATGAACTTAATTAGTGTTTAAAATATGATTCTTCATCTGGAGGATTAAGAGCAATAAATTAACTTCAGTGATACGGTCAGTTTTTAATATACAATATCATACTTTACACATTTACTGTAGAAAAATATTATTATTACCCATGTACTTATAAGTCCTAAAATAAAGAGTCAAAAAGTGCAAAAACAACAGAAGCTATAGAGTGTCGTCTCCCCTCCAATATTTATAATTGTTTGAGAAGAAAATATACACTTTGTTTTGGATCTTATTTATCTAATATGGAGAAAATACACACACACATCTTGTTAGAGGTCTCTGTTAGGTTAAATACGTGTCCCTTTATGATACAGTACAAAATAATGAATAATGTTTGAGTGAAAAGTAATTTTACTTTATTTTTAAGGTATTTAACTTTTTGGTTGGTGTTGCTTGACAGTGCAGACAGTCCACAGTGAGTTCATAGAGTAGTCCCTCTCCGTCCTCCTGAAGAAGCTGTTTTTGCCCTTCAGTGTTAATCAGTGAATTAAGGCTAATATTAGAATAGTTGTCGATTATTGTTCCGTCAATCAACAAGTCGTCAAGAAGCTTATGTTGCCAAAATAGCAGCCTGAATGTCAACCTAACCATCGTGCCTCTGCTGCTGCGTGACATCAACCGAGATGTTTTCAAGAAAATAGATAACAAATGGATCAATAATAATATTTCCACTTCTTTAGCTCTGCATCTGAAGAAGCCTTTAGAACAGGCTTGCAATGGAGACAAAGGGACACAGTGTTTATGCGATCTCAAAGTAGCAAACAAGAACAGATTATCTTTTTTTCAGGATGCCACAGTAACGTCAAACAACACAGGAAGCTATCGCTGCAGCAGAGACAGAGACAGCAGTGATTCATCTGGAAACTTCTCCTCATCATCATCACAGCTTTTTTTAAAGTGTGCACTGCTTCTCTGCAGCCACTAGAGAGAGCAGCTGTCTCCCTTTAGCTCTCAGAACAAGAGAGGAGGAGGACGACAACATTAGATATGTTCTTCAGTTAGTCAACATACTGAAGACAAACCAGCAGTCACTATCAGACAGACAGGTGCCCTGAGGCAAGGCACTTCTCAATGTGTGTTAAAGTAAAGCGGGCCCATGTGAATCTTCCCTTTCATAAAATACAGTATGATAAGGGCTCAGCAACATATCAAAAATATACTCATATATATGAGAATACGAAATATCGTCTGTTCCTGATTTTAAAGGCTGAATTACAGTAAAGCGATGTATTTTTCTGAAGTTATTAGACTGTTCTAGCTACTGATGATTATTTATCAAAATGTTCCTTATGTATATATATATACATATATGGATATCGATGTGTTTGATCAGGATTAACGTGACTTGATTACTGACTTGATTTTCTCCACAGTATGATCAGGGCAGTGAATAAGGGACTGAGCCATGTTGATAAATCAGGATCATGTTCAGAGAGAGTATGTAAGATCAGGAGTGCTGACGCCATGTCATTAATAACAATCCAAACAACATCCTTCTCCAGCGAGAAGCCGAGAAATGAAAGGAAGGATTGGAAACAGGTGTCACCTCAGAGCTGCAACCTTTCTCCTTATGGCCTGAATGTATCGCCTTTTACTGAATTTACAGCTTTAAAAACATACGAGGATGTTGGCAATATCTTAGATACAGTTGCTGAATTAACTCAGCAGTAGATATACATGTTTTTAATGCAGTTCAATGATTGTTGAATGCTTACAAATGTGTGTTAAGTGACTTTCCGCACATTTCATCGGTGCAACTTCTTCATTATCACAGTCTCACTGACTTTGGGCCACAGGGCTTCAGAGGAAGTCAAATCCAAACTTCACACATCTAAAGTAAGGAGGTCAAACATTTGTTGAAAATGTAATGCAATGTTGAAAATGTTCTTAAATCTTCTAGTAAGAATTAGTCTTTCCTCACTGATTTGAAAAACCTGAACTTAACCTTTACGTATCATTTGTTGGGGCCAAAAGCTGCTCACATCCTCAATGGCAGAGATTTAACAAAACACAGCTTTGTAAACACTCTACAACAACTCCAATTTAACTTAAATGATCAAATTCTGTCGTACAAGTTTGAACCAGCAACCTTTCAGAGAGTGTGTCCTGCAAAGTCTCCATTACTAACATCTCTGAAAAGCAGGAAAACCTTAGGAAAAATAAAATAAAAACCATAATGTCCTGAAAGTGAGCCATGATTTTATGATGTATGTGACCTTCAGTGCTCGTCTTCTTAACCATGGAGCACAGTGTGTCGTCTTTTAGGGAGGAGAGAAGGCGGTGTTAGTCTCTGTGTTACCGTGCTGTCGTTCTCCCATCACAGTGTAGATGAGCTTTGGTGTCTGCAATGTGAGCAGGGAGAGGGCGGGGGGGTGAACCCAGGTGCCTTAGTGCCTCTGAGCCAGGCATGGTGACGCCCGTCCATCACAGTCAGTGTGTCTCTGCTACGCCTGCTTCACCATCTTCCTGAAATGAGGCATGACTTTGCTCTCAGGGAGGTACAGCGCCATCTCCAGGGCGACCAGGATGGTGAACTCAAAGGTTATGAGCTCCTTCCTGCTGATCCTGAAACGCTCCTCCAGCTTCTGCACACATAGAGAGAGACACACATTTATATATTTGTTGATACAGTAGGTACAGTATAACTCGATATAAAATACATGATGTAAAAATGGCAGGAGATATGCTGATATACAATACATCAATATTACCTAGGAAAGTACGAAAGATAGAAACCTAACGAGTAACACTACAAAAGTTCAGATATACAATACATAAGTTAACGCAACATGACATAATGGCTCTTTCAGTGTGACTTTGGCAATTCATGTGTTTTGGTTTTATTCGGCTTCAAACTGATGAAAGTTGTGCCTTTGATAATTAGTCAGGTGATGCTTCTGTGCTGCAACATTTCATAAAACAGAAGTGTAGTGCCATGTGTTCAGTTTTCTGATCGTAGCATCATTTCTACATTTGATTGTGAAATCCAACCGTTTATTTTAAGGTCTGTTAAAATTAAAATGCACTGGTACCGCCTACAGGTTGTGGCTGTGTAGCTCTTTTGACCGTAAGTGTGTTCCTAAAAAGTAGCACAAAACTGTTTAAGCTTTTATACAATTCAAACTGCAGTAAGTGGTATTATATATACACTATACCACATTTGAATTTGGCGCTGCACAGTAGCTAAACATTTAAATGCCGTGCTGTAATTACACAGTAAATACAATTGAGTAAAGAGAGGTAGATACATGGTAAATTGCACGACTAATAGAAATAGAAAATGATCTGCTTATGCGTGTGTGAAGTGAGTCAATAGGTATGAAGGACAGCAGCTGTCAGGCTCTGCAGGAAGTTGTCTGTTCAGGTGAATCAGCGTCACTATCACCTGAGCAGGAGCAACATGAGCTGACAGAGCGCTAACCCCCATGATGTGTGTGTGTGTGGGTGTGTGTGTGGGTGTGTGTGGTGTGTGTGTGTGTGTGTGTGTGTGTGTGTGTGACTCACATCGATGAGGTGTTTGACCTCCTGTTTCTTGAGGTCACTGCTGATCTTAGCAGCCAGTAGGAGGCAGGCAGCTGACACCAACTTCCTGTGAAACAACAACAGTGATCGGACACATGAGTTTGACACTTTCCTGATCTCACATCAAAACAAAGTTGAATCATTTTCACAGGAAACAAGTATAACACATTACAACATGCAGTTCTTGTGTTATGTGAGGATCAGATGTTGAGGCACCTGTTCTGTTTATTGAGTCGACCCTGCAGCACCAACTTCTCAAAGTAGACGAAGGACATGGCGATGGTGACGGGCTGCAGGCCGCAGTCCTCCCCCACCACCCGCATCTCTCTCTTCAGACTGAGACACAAACAGTCACAAAGTTACATTTTTGTATAATACAATTCTGTACAGGAATTCTAGCAAAGCGCAGACAGCCTTACATTTAATGTATTCTATTGTTATTTCTAAAACTTTTATAGTTCTTTAAAAAGTATAAAGTCGGTTCATTTGAAATGCTTTACCTGCGTATCTTGCTGAGGGTGAGTTTAATGTGAGGATACTTCTCCTTAAACGTCTCGTTCATGTCTTTCTTCAGATCAGACGGCTTGACGTACTCTATTACCGTCGTCTGGAGGGTAAAAGATGACAGACACACACATTGAAAGACACACACATTGAAACACACACACACATTGAAACACACACACATTGAAACACACACACATTGAAACACACACACATTGAAACACACACACACATTGAAACACACACACACATTGAAACACACACACATTGAAACACACACACATTGAAACACACACACATTGAAACACACACACACATTGAAACACACACACATTGAAACACACACACATTGAAACACACACACACATTGAAACACACACACATTGAAACACACACACATTGAAAGACACACACACACAAACACCAAGATCAATGGCAGCCTACCTCAGCCACAATCTTCAGTGATGATGGATGTAACAGTTACGATATAGCGTGTGTGTGCCTGTGTGTGTGTGTGTGTGTGATTCCATGGTTTATAATTCATCTGGAGGGATAAAACTAAGCTCCTGCCTATAGTATAATCACGCTGATGTAAAAAGCTGTGTGTGTGCATGTGAGTGTAAGTGTGTGTCTTTTCTCAACTGGATTATTCTGTCCTCCGAGGTCTATAATCCTCTATCCTCCTCCTCTCCCCTCTCTGTCTCCTTCTCCTTCACTTTCTCACTTAGCTCATTGAACACTGGAATGACGGTGTCATTTAGCTCTGAATCTACATTGTCATTATTGGACACAGCTATACAATTACGTTGAAGCTTATAAAATATATGTTTTCTTAATGTCTTCTTACCATGTAGGAGGCGAAGATCAGCACCCGCTTGTGTTTCCCACACGGCCACTGGGGGTTACTGAGGAGGTCGGGGTCGTAGTCTGTTACATCTTCCAGACCTGAACCACACACACACACACACACACACACACACACACACACACACACACACACACACACACACACACACACACACACACACACACACACACATACACACACACACACACACACACACACACACACACACACACACACACACACACACACACACACACACACACACACACACACACACACACACACACACACAACGCTATTCAGATGTAATCCTGAAACACACTCACAGCTGTGTTGTGTTAATGAACGGTTCTGCATTCTGAGAGGTAAAGAGGCTAATAGAGGGCTGTGTCACTGCATGTGTGTGTGTGTGTGTGTGTGTGTGTGTGTGTGTGTGCATTTATAGATAGCACACACATGAGACACAGCATGTACATTACACACGTGTTTAAAATATAAAGAAGCCCTTCCAGCACAGCTGTAAATACTCCTTCTTCTCTCTCTGGTCTCATCGCTTCAACCTGTGTTTGTTTTCTCTTCCTCTCTTCACATCCTTCCTCTCCATCTGAATGTTCATTATTTCTCTCTGCAGTAACAAACACGCCCTTCTGCCTCTAATTCAATAAGATGCACAATATAGATGTTATGCCAGAAACATTTTGAACATCGCCAAAATGATATTACTTGCAATATATTAATACAGAGACTTTAGTGTGGTCAGTTCTGGCTTTCTCCTGCATGAACAACTGCATTTTGAATTAAAAACAAGGGGGGATTGCAGAACAAAAAAGGCATGGAAAATAAATAATAATTTTGTTCTTATACTCTCTTAAAACTAACAAAACCAAAAAAAACAATATATTGTGCAGTCCTAGCATCAATGTTCTCTTACTAAGTCTAAATGCAGGGACTCTATCCACGCCTTGATTTGACTTAAAGAGTTGAAATAAATCCAATGCTAGGGAAACAATGTGTGTGTGTGTGTGTGTGTGTGTGAGTGTGTGAGTGTGTGTGTTGTTGTCAGTGTGATTGTTACCTAAGTCCAGTCCCACGGTGCTGTTCAGCCGGCTGGGGGGGGCGCTCCTGCCCGGCATGCTGTGTGTGCTCCTGGAGACGGGGATCTGCAGCGTCAGGTCGCAGGCCGACGCCGGCTTCTGCCTCACCAGGGCGTTGGTGGGGTACAGGAACTGCGCGTAGGACACCGACTGAGATGGAGAAATAGAATAATTAACTACATCTTAAAGGTCACCTGTTATGCAAAATCTACTTTTTCATGTCTTCTATACATAAACACGTGTCCCCTCTGTGGAAAGAGATTCTGAAAGTTTCAGGAACAAAGACCCCCTCTCTTTTTGTCCTGATCCATTTTATGAGTCTGAAAATGAGCTGATCAGATTTTGGCCACTTTATGATGTCATAACGATTTTTTGGCTTGTGTAACCATTACAGCCCGTCCACACAGCGGCGTGCGTTGAAAGCTTCACCATTCACTTGAATGGGGTGACGTTACTTTTCGCCGAACTGCATTGTGGGAAGCGAAGCGGAGCTTTGCTGGCGTGGCTCGCTGCAAAAGTTGAGAAATGTTCAACTTTTGAAGTTCTGAAGCGTCAGCCAATCAAATCCCGTTTATGCAAATCTGCCAGTACAAGCGCTAGCCAATCAAACCGCGTGTATGCTGAGAGAGACACACCGCAGGTCATTTCCTCATATTCCAAAAAATGGAGGAGAAATTAATCGTAGCAGTAGGGAATCACCCGGTCTTGTACGATCAGTCCCTGTTCACCTACCGGGATACAAACCGGAGGAGCCAGGCATGGAGGGAGGTGGCAGAGATAGTGGGTGAAACTGGTAGGTTTTCGCCTGTTTGGGGATTTTATATCCAGTTTACTTCATAAACTGTATGTCGGGGGCGGGAGATTCATGTGATTGGTTGTTGCTCGCGAGAACTCCCCAAGCTTCAGACACGCCCACCGCCAAGCTTAAACGCACGCCGCTGTGTGGACGGGCCGTCAGCCAACAACTACATGGGCGAGTGGCTCCTTATTTTCATCTAAAGTAACAGACAGAGAATGAGCACTTTTGAAACAGGGCTGAAACAGAGGGGATTGTAGGATGCTGCAATGATCTGTTTGGTGTTTGGAGCCAGAGGCATGTTTTGTATATATCTGAGACCTGTAATATATTGATGAAAAACAGTATAACGGGACCTTTAACATGTGAAACTCTCTTTGATGATAAAAACATCTACGTGTGTGTTGACCCACCCTGCCGTAGGGGTCCAGCTGGAAGCCCTCCAGCCCCGGCAGCATCTCCAGAGTGGTGGAGATGTTCCCCGACGAGTGTCTCCTCCTGGTGTGGTTTAATGTCGGGTCACTGCAGGGAGAAAGATGGTACTTACGATACGATAATACTTTAATGGTCAGATCAAGTCTGAAATTTGACTTGCATCACAGCAGCTCCATGTGTAACATCAACATAGACAACTATCAAGACACAATACATAAAAAACTAACAACAAACATTTAACATCACGATCACTGAGAGAAAACATGCTCAAGTCCCTTTAGCGCGCATTTGATCTGGGATTGAGCTCTGTATTTACTGTGAGGATTGACTGGAGCACAAAGGATGCTTCAGTCTGACCTTATTGAATCGCGGGACCCTGTATCTCATTCTCCGATTAGATGCAGTTCATATTCGCTGTTCAGAACATGGTTTGGGTCCGAGATGAGTTGTACTTAATGTTGTGTTAATTAAAACATGTGAGTTTAACTGTATATTTGACGTGAATCTTTACCCTGCTTTAACACATCCACACAGATCTTATGCTAGTCTGCTTTTACCTGTCGTTCCTCTATGATGTCACCGTACCGTGCCCATAGTGCTTTGATACTATTGGTTATCGAGCAGTACAATAACACTACATTAACAGCGACTAGAGTCGTTCCCGGCAGAAATGTATCCAGCAGGGATTTACATTTCTAGTCTGTTTTGAAGGCTAATCCGTTCATTTTCAATATAGTTTATAATAGTTTGTGATCTGTTTGATAAATAACAGGCTATAAAGACTAGCAGCACCCAGACAGACAGAATGATGCAGATATACATGTTTTTACAAAGTTTTGCCTTCCGCCCGTGACAGAGTTGGACATGTGGTGACCTGAGAGGGAAAGGTCAAAGGTCACTTCCCACCACAACCACATTTACAGCCATTCTCCCACAGTCTCAAACCACAGCATCAGACACAAGATAACACTGGAAATGAGATGCCTGAGCGCACTTCCTCTTCCGAAAAGACCAGTGTTTCTCACGCTGCCTGAAGAACTGAATGTGTGTGCGTAGAAAAGAGATAAAGGAGGAAGTGTACGTGTGTTCATACTTATCTGTGTGATAATCTTTTTTCCTGTATCAATACTTACTATGATGTGCATGTGTGGCGTGAATGTGACGTGATACTAAGCATGCATAAAGGCTCTGGTATAAAAACGTCTGAAATTGTGTGTGTGTGTGAGTGAGTTTGTGTGTGTGTGTGTGAGTGTGTGTGTATACATGATAGAGAGAAAGGGATAAGCAGAAGTTTACATAGTTGTAGTAACATCTGTATTTTCAGCTGTGTGTTAATACAGTATCTGAGTATGTGTGTGTGTTAGAGTCAGAGAGAATAGGAAAACATGATTAGTGAGTCTACGGAGACTTGAGCGCTTATCTATGGGGAAGTTTATGTCGGATTATATCAGTGTGTGTGTGTGTGTCTGTTTGTGTCAGCAGCTTGAAAGCCCTCAGGACAACTGAGGAGGCTCTAATGCACATGGGGAAATCTTGTTGCCCGCTCAAAAAGCAACTACCTTCACTCCCTTTTTTTAGTCCGCCTGTGAGGAAATCACATCTCTCCCTCCCCTATCGACGATCTAAAAGTGTGTATGTGTGTGTGTGTGTGTGTGTGTGTATATGTGTGTATTACCTGAGGTAGAAGCTCTCTCCGTAGGGCAGAACAGAGAAGGCAGCACACAGAGATCTCTTCGCACAGATAAGCACGATCCTGGAAGACGAACAAACATTAGTGGTAACGTTATTATAACATCTGTTCGGTTGACTGCTGAGGGAAAAAAAGGGATCACTCGGCACATTGCCAAGCTGAACTTTTGTTTTTTATCATACTTTTATAGCAGAAACCAACCAAAGTAGGGCTGTGCTATTAATTAAAGCAACATTACGACTCTCCAACATAAATGTCTTCATTCATCCCATTGATGGAATAGTTACATAACAGGATAAACACATTTATTTATAATATCAAATATTGAGAACAAATTGCAATACGTGGAATGGAGCACATTTAATTTTACAATTTGAATAAAAACATTATGAATAATTATTTTACAACAATATAATTATGTTGAATGGAGATTACTCAGTTTATTTTTGTTGTTTACATTTGAATGGCATTACAAATGTTTACACTTATTTAAGGTTATGTATTCAAATCATTATATTGTTTTGACCAAAATGTATTCAATTTAGTTTCAGTTTTGTAATTTTTTTTATTTGATCTTTTATTTTAATCTCAATCTCTGCTGTTGTTTTTAATCCACTGACCAGATGTTTGTTTGAGGTCGTTCAATAGTGAAATTATTTAGTTTTTTTCTCAGGTTCACACTCAACATCTGGCGGTACCTCACAGGGTAATTACGTGAGCATTTATTCACAAGGCGGAAAACATTGAGGAACTGAGCTCTGACATGAAGTCAAAATGTCAAAACACACACTCGACACGTTCCTAATTGACCTAAGTGTTCCACCTGCACCTTTATCCAGACACTGCATAATAACAACATGGTTTAATGGGGTTTCGATGGGATAGTGTGTGTGTGTTTTAAATTGCGCATCCTCTGGAGTATAAACCCCTGTGAAGCAGAGACTGCGCGTTGCTTTGTGTCTCAGAGGAACATGTTCAGTCATTATCTTTGGCTCAGGCACCACAGAGACTGGGAGGTGATTCACAGTGTGTGAAAACATAAACACACCCTTGAGTGCATCATGTTTGTGATGATGAATCATTTATACACACTCCATCATATATATATATACAGTATATATATATACGGTATATGGAACCACTGACGGCACTAAACAATAAAAACAGGCCACACACTGAGAGAGAACTGAGGTTAACCGAAGATATAACATCAAGTCAATCTGGAGACTGTCAGAGTGAACAGCAACGGAAGAAGATGCCAAATCAAACTGCAGTTAATCAGAAGACTGGCAGAGAAAGCAGTAAATCAACCAAAGTAGTTACATAACCTGGATTAAACAATATGAGCAAATAAAACCCAAGCTTAAAAGGAGCAAACCCAAATCGTATAACTAATATGGAGCCTGCACTCTTACACAAATTGATCGATGCCATGTTTCTGATTAGAGAGGTGCAGTGATGAGATGTTTTTGTACGCCAACGGGGGAGTTAGCAACGCAAGGAGTCCCTCGACAAAAGGCAAAGGGATTTCCTGTTGGATTTTGTAAAAAGGCAGAAAATAAGCTGTGTGTCCAACAAACATTTATATTGTACACATTCTGCTCAGCAGGATAACTTCACATATTAACATCACTTTGTGGTTTTTGAAGCCTGAATACAATTGACAAAAATAAAAAGCTAAACGTAATGCTATATATTAACTCACGGTCGCATGGCTGTGCGTCACCAGCGCTGAGTCAAAGGCCCCAGCGTGAAAACGTTTAGTCTCATTTAGTCACTATTTTAAAACCGCTGCTTCTGTGACACATCGAAGTTATGGATATTCACAAGTGGGATATTTATTGTTGTGTTTTATGTCATATACACGTGGAAAGCTTGAGTTAACCACAGACCTTATTTCAAAAGTCAAAGTCAACTTTATTGTCAATCTCAAAATATGTTTGTACACACAGAACGATTGAAATACTGTTTCCCACAGTCCAGAGGTATACAAAAACACACGTCAAAATACAAGAACAAAAACCTTGGCAGCGGTATTGTAGGAGCCATGAAACATTGTATAGTATTGCGTTTTGTTTTAATATAAGATATTTGTTTGAGCACAATTGATTGGTTGGCTTGGGTCACATGGAGATGGGCGGCACTCATTATAATTCTGTTCACCTGCGTGAGGTGTGTGTGGAAGAGAGGGTGACAGGGCCGTTGTACTTTTTGTTGACCACAAGTTTAAATGATTGCTTTGATTAATATAACGATGTACATGTCCAAGGAGAATAAGTTGATTATCCCAGTTTTCATTAAACCACATTATTTTGCAACAGAGTTTTTCATCTCAGCAAGTACTTTTTTGTAGCGTGTCACAATATCAAACAGGCCCGGTCTCAGCCTCTCAGCGACTTTGTTTGTTTCCTGCTGTCGCTATAGGTATTCTAACCTCAAACACGTTACAAAACCATTGACTTCAAAGGAACAGGAAGTGGTCAAATGTTAAGTCTTTGCTGGATTATAGGACTCATTACTGCATCACTCTATTTTGTAGGACAGGGATATCATTCAAGAACATTTGGGAGGCAGGGTGTTAAAGGGGATCATTTCTTGCTCATATTTATTTTAAATTAAAGGTGGGGTAGGTAAGTTTGAGAAACCGGCTCGAGATACACTTTTTGTTATATTCCATAGAATGCTCTTAACATCCCGATAGCAATGAATATCTTAAGTGCTTTGACAAAATATCCATAACAAAATGTCATCTGTGGAAGCCGTGGCGCTGTAAAAAGCACGACCAATCATCTGAGCCGGCCCGGCTAAAGTAACTGGATGGCCTACCTGCCTGTCAGCCTTCCATCTGTGCACAAACTTATCTCGTGCCCTCATTGGTCATGTGCGCGTTTGTGTGTGTTGGAGGAGGGGCTCTGTAAGGAAGTGGAAGATTTCTTCCTGTTGTGTATTTTCAAATTCTAGCGCACTCAAGCTGGTTTCTCCAAAATTACCTACCCCACCTTTAAAAGAGTTGGTAATAATAAAAGTCCCACTGTTATAGAGTTATAAAGACAATAGATACAAGTACAGGCAGTAAGTGATTCTCCTCACCATACATTTTTAATAAGGATCAAAGTGAATGGAAGATTCAATATGCTTTCATCTCAACAGAAAGATTTTGTGGCTGTTATTCATCATACCAGGAAGTAGAAGAGTTTGATAAACTGATATATAATTCAACAGGAAACTACCAAGAAACTAAATGAAGTGCTGCGATTCACAGTCGAGCTGAACATAAGCTTTTCTGCTGGAAATGTGGACATCAATATCACATATTCCTACATTTCAACACATGTTTGTGGAAAACAGATCGTCACACACACACACACACACACACACACACACACACACACACACACACACAACACACACACACACACACACACACAACACACACACACACACACACACACACACACACACACACACACACACACACACACACACACACACACACACACACACACACACACACACACACACACACACACACACACACACACACACACACACACCCCTATGATGCATGGGAAAGTGAAGGGCAGGAAGTCGCCAGGGAGGTCATTGGACATCATCACAACAGGCCTGCTGGAGGCATGACTCTGCTGGGGATTCAGTCCGCAGCCATTTATCACCACACATTTCATAACAGTGGGGGCACCTTAAGGAAAAACCCCAGCCACATCCCACTGGGAACATGGCCCAAGGGTTGCAACTACTGAGCTAACTGCACACAAATACCAAGAAAATAGGGTCAAACATCCTGAGACATTAAGGGAAAAATTCGGAATTATTTTCAAATTCAGCTCAACATCCATACATTCAGCATTAACCAACAGGAAACGCTCAGTACACAGGATGTATGCTAGAGCAGTGTTATTTTTAACCGTAGGCTGTCTTTGTTCAGTTCTTTAACAGATTAGGCTTTTTGCATCCCAGTCACAACATGTCTAAGTTTGGAATTATTGTTTTTAGTTAGCGCTTTTGTCTGGTCCACGTGACCGGTAAGATTTCAGTTACCAGATAAATGGGAACATTATGGATAATCAGTATCTGTGTTTATTATTTAGCTTGAAAACAATTGATCAAGAAGGCTTTATAAAGAATGACATCATCAAGGCATGTAGATTTATATTTTATAGACAACACACAATTAGAGCTTCAGTTCTCTTTTACTTACTTTTATTTAAATTGTCCAAAAATAACTTTTTTTAATTTAGGTGCAGTATTAAAAGTGTTTCCATGTTAGCTAAATGTATTGATATACAGAAAATATTCAACGTACTGTATGTACATTCAATTCTACGTGCTAAGTTGAAGCTGAAAACTGCAACAGTCACACTTGATGATCCTTTAAATATCCCCAACATAGCATTCAGACCAGTTTGTGAGGCAGCAGAGCTCTAACATTAAATGTTCTCTGAACGCTGCCCTCTCTTCTGCGTGATGACATGGTGACAAACACCAGCTCTGCCGCTTTCAGCTGCATCTATTCTAAAACAATCTGGACTCCGTCTATAATTATCTGATGAGAATGCCTGCGTTCCTTTGACCCAGAGGTCGGATTTATACACCCTTCAAGGAAGGACGAAAATAGAGAACAATAGAGGAACGATTAGACATCAACACTGTCCAAAAGAGAAACCAACAGCCTTCCTCTCCACCTGTGGAGTACAAGCTGCACACTTCTGCATGTCAGCAGAGTTAGTGAAGGTTCATGGTTGAAGACACCGAGGCACAGTGGAAAACTGGAAGTATGAACATTATTACCTTGACATAAATCTTACAAACAATTACCTCAAATAGAAATTGTGATATTTTAGGTAATTGAATATGTTTGTGGTTTAATTTCATATTTGGGTCATTTTTTGTTGTTGACATGTTCAGGCACAAGAGGGAACATAGGAGAATGTAGCTATACGTACATTCAGTGTTTTAAAAGGATCAGAAATGATAGCAGTAACCCTTATCCTGCACTTGTGCAATTTTTTTTAAGGAGTTCAAATAATTTATTTGATCTTAAACATTAAACTGATTTTGCTTGTGTGTAAACCTGTAATGTCAGAATGATGAGTGTGTCCCACCTGCTGCCTCTCGTGTCGTACTGTTTCATGTTTTTGATGAAGTGGGTCTTCTTGGTGTGCCGAGGTCTGGGAGAGCCACCAGAGAGGTTACGAGTCCTGCAGAGAGACAGACACACAGAGATTAATGAAGTGTATCACTCTCATTTCAGTCACATTTCAGAAAGATGCTAGAGAAGGCATTTGAGTTAAGCGCACACTCTTCAATTTAAGCCTGAAATCAAATAAAACATAGCGTCTAAAGCAGAAAGTCAGCATACAACGACTCCTCAATCAGAATGGGCACTTTTTTATTACAGGTGTTACCAGGAAATGTGTGTGTGTGTGTGTGTGTGTGTGTGTGTGTCTTTGTTTGTGTGTGTTTCCCTGCAACTGTCTGCTGAAATCAGGTTGTGACACTCTGTCGACCTTGTGGATTAAAAACAGAGCGTGACGTGAAAGCAGGCCAAGGAGCTAAACTCACTGACATCACAGCAGTTAGTTACATAACATTACGGCATCTGCACACACATACACAAATGTCATGTTATGTGCACACACACACTTGAGCACACGCATACAGACTGAGACAGACACAGCATCTGCTACTGCTTTTATTTGTATGGCTGACCTGGTGATTCCAAACCACACGGACTTTAAATCCACACACACACCTTTGTCCGTCAGTCAGTCGTTAGTAACCTTAACTCGTCCCCATTTTGCTCTGCCGTTGCTATCATGTGAAATAAAAGTTTCTCATCATTTTAACTCATCACTGTATTGTTTGTACCTGATCATGAGACGCTTCAGTATAAAGCTGCAAAAAGTTTTTTGTGGATGTGTACTCATTCTTATATACTGTAATTATAGGCTAAATTACACTATTACTCATAATATAATACTTTTTGTAGAATGAGATTCCATAAAAAATAGAAAAATTATTATACTTCAATCCATATTTGTTGGAGGAGCCTGTGATCTAAGATTTTCATCGACATAACTACACTGTAGCTATGTACGTATAACACATAAAAGCATTGAACCCATTGACTTTATATATAAAGCTTGAACCTTGAAATGTGATATTTGTTGGCATTACACATTTAAAAGCCAACATTTTCACTGCAGTCAAAACACTGTTTTCTCTCCTACTTGCAGCACACAACACCTTCAGCGCTGTCTAGGAACAAAATAACAGCAACGACAATAGATTAGATAATCACAGTAACAAAAACATCTATTCCCTTTTTATCTAAGGGTAATCAAATATGGCGAAGAGTTCTAAATCTTCATTCCTACATTTTATTATAATGAAAGTTACATTCGGTAGAGCCCTTATCCAACCATCATGCTCTTGTTTCCGAAACACAGAGAGTAACAACAATCCTCATTCTCTGTGGGTCCGTCAGCACTAAGGGAAATATGTAAGAAATAGAAGGAAATGTGTTGATGGAAACTACGCACAGCGTGAAATTAAGAAATACATCCTTCAGATCTGGAAATGAACACCACAACACGATGTCAGCAGCATGAGTCAGCTTACTCCGGATAAAAATACAGATGAAAATTACCAAGACCATTACGTCTCGACTTCCACTTATTATTAGACACTCTAGTATTATTAAAACAATGAAAGTATACACATAAATCTATATATAGTCTTATGATTGTATCTTTTGAAGCTACTGTAGCCATGGTCACTTAATGGAATCTTCTCAGCGTTCCATTTCCACAGAAACCGTCATTCCGGAATGTCGTGGAATGTTTCTATTGTGTGGGAATGGAAAGAGCTCATTAGCCAAAAATCCCCCGAGCGGATGAAGGTGATCGGGATGATGACAGTAGCTGGAGTTTCATGTAAAGACACATATGGCAGATTGAGTTGATAGAGTGGCACATTTAGGGTCACATTGGCTCTGAAGTTGGAGTGCCTTTGAGCGTAATGCCTTTATTTTGACATCCGTAATGTGTTTTGTCTCATTTTGTGCAACCAGCCTTAAGCAGGAAGTATACAGGGCTGGTTTTTGTTAGGATCTTAGTTTTGTTACTGTTGGCAAAAGGATACTTTGTGCTTTGAGATATACTGTATCAGCATATTTCGAAACCAAACATCTGTTATTGATGATCACATTAAGTCAGCTTTTGCAAATGGAGAATTTGTTTGAACACAAGCAGCCACAAAAAACCTCCCCCAAAATAAATGGCGACACATTGGAAAAATGTATTATATAAATCAGGACCTATCTGACCAGATTTAAGTAAACACAGACGAGACATTCAATGCCGACTCTTAGTGCTTGGACCATATATTGTAAATACGTAGTCAACATGACGACGTCTGTTCGTGTGTGGACTACGGCTTTGAAATCTTGTCATTTTGGCCGTCACCGTTTTGAGTATTGGCCTTTGCCATCTTGATCTTTTTTTACAACCAAAAGCTTAACATTTTCAGGTGACTAAATTGTTGTAATTAAATTGTATAAAAGGGTGAACATACTGTAATAAAATGTTAAGATAAAACCAAGCAAACTATCCTGTCAATCACAAGGTAGCCACACCCTGAAACATACAGAGCTTTAGGACTATTTTTACACTGAATGGATCCATCCTTTACAAAACTAACAGCATGTTTAATTGAAATAGACTTTAGACTTAAGACCATAAACTTATTAGGAGTATGTTTGATTTGGTAATTAATTAGGTGAAGAGCCTTTACTTTTTCTCATAGACTTCTAAACAATCTTCTTCATTTTGCGCCCTGGTTAGTCTCCCCCCGTTGTGAAGGCAAGTTTAAAAAGGCACGTCTACATTGGCTTCCCTTTTCATACCTACAGGTTGATCTGGCTCGTACCAAACACAGCCCCACTCACTTGGTTACAAGACTGAAGACTGAGCAGTGTCCTTCAGTGCTGCACTAATTTCATTTTCCAACTCATCTCATGTCAGCAACAAATCACAATTAGGACATAACAACATGTTGGTTAAGCCCAAAAACAAACACCCACACCCCCTTAGGATCATGCAGTTCTTCAGCAGTGACTGACATTCAACAGGATTGGTATATAATAGCAAATGCTACACTGTCTGCTATCTTCGACTTATTTTCTTAGCTTGTATGCTTATGTTGTTAAAACGCTGTAATCATAAACATCAATACATTCTAGATAAGAGTGCCAGACTTGACGTCAGTGTTTTCCCAGTGTTCCTTGAACCTGTCCCAGTATCTGAGCTGTGGATCTCGGCCTCATTATCTGACCAGTGGCACTTTTCCATGAGAACCAGCCTGCTACATCTCTCTGGGATGTTGTGGAAAGTTTCCGTTCTGTGGGAACGGAAAAATCCAGTCTGCTCTGTCCCTCTCGAGCAGGATGATAATGATTGGTGTACGGATACCCTACTTTTAGACTTGGGAAGATATTTAGTAAATATATGACATCATTCTTTAAAATAAATGGTATACCTGTGCCATTAGACTTAAATTCAACGGGCCCAAACACAAATAGCAAAGCTTTCAACACTGTAGTCACATTAGGGCTGAGGACCCTTTCTACAAAATGACAACAAAGGACACACAAGGCTTGTAAGAGCTCTACCTTCCGGAAAATATTGAGGTTGCTTTCCAACAAAAAAAAGCATGAATAAATGTATAATGATAAAAAAGGAGATACGTTTCTTCCTGAAGGTATATACTGTTACCTTAAAAAGATCATCAATAATACCTACAGTATTTAATTGCAGTACAATTACTTTGACAGTCTAGAATCAAAATATAATCAGAAACTATCACAATGTATTATTGAACATTAAGCTTGTCGGCACTATAGTAGCTACATTTAGCCTTATTGAAGGTACAATAGTCTGAAATGGACACTTTTTCTCTTTTGGTACATTGTGTTTGTACAACTTTTAATGCTACTTTCTCTTAATTAATATACCTGAATACTTCCTGCGCCACTGACTAATAGTTCTTGATTTAAATATTAAGGAACACACCACTGCTGTATGTTTCATTATGACAGTATGATTTGAAATTCAGACAGCAATGACTTTCAAACACCAGCTCTATTTAAGGGACCTATCATGCAAAATGCACTTTTTCATGTCTTTTATACATAAAGATGTGTCCCCGGTGTGTCAGGGAACTCACGCAGCATCAGAAAATAAAACCCTCTCTCTTTTCCTCCGTACCCAAATCTCTACAAACGGGGGTACAACGGAGCTGATCCAGTATGCGTCCGATATGACGTAATATCGGAAATGTGGGCTGGCTTTACACCCACGGCCCTATCAGAAAATTGCTATCAGAAACAATGCCTGACTGTTTTGGACGTAATATGGTCGGTGTATACATTAGCATCGCTAACACTCAGAGCTAACCTGTACTGGAGAGCATGTGTGTGAAGAAGCAGGAAATAAAAAGGAACTCACCTTGTGGTATAACCGGCTAGAGAGAAAGCCTTTGAGCTCCATACTGTTTCAGAAATAATCCTTGGTAATCCATGATATGGCGTTTCATCACGGCAGTATTTAGTTTAGACAGTAGCTGCCGGGTTCCGCATGAGCTCAGACCCCTCCTTTTTTTTTTGTTATCAAATTTTCTTTTTTTAAAGCTTTATACCCAAAATCAGCACTTTTGAAACAGGAAGTGAAATAGAGGGATATGAGGCATGGCTAGAATGGGTGATCTGTTTGGTATTTTGAGCAAAACACTTCATATACATGTTTTTTATATATTTGTATACTAGGGCTGCACGATATTGAAAAAAACTGACATTGCGGTTTTTTGTTCCCCTGCGATATATATTGCGGTTTTTTTAACCTGTTAAGCCCCAAGGTCCCGGCGGGTACTTTACTTTTTTTTTCACGACACTGTGTCTCAGACTCTCAGGGGATCTTAATATTTAAGAACCTATTAATGTGTTATACCAGATTAACGGAAATAATCTCAGCTAACTGACGATACAAACCATGTTTACCAAAACAAAACACAAGTCTCATAAGAAGCATCTAAATGACCCCTGAGCGAAAAATGCTAACGGACTTTGGCACAGAACTCGAGATAAAAGATACCCTTATTAATTATCGTAGCTGCACATACAAGATATCTGATTAAAGCTGAG